ACTGATTACTATACACCGAACTTACCTCAAAGTATTTGTAATGATGTAAAATCAGTCTTTCCGTGTATTTAACAATTATTCACACCTTTCACCGACACTGAAGTGAATAATTGTTTTAGGATATACCACACACATACCAAAAAATAACGGTATTTCTCTCAATATACCGAAAAATGATCTGCCTAGTACTTGCTATTCACTTCAGATCAAGCCAATCAGCGCGCGCGAAAAGCACCATTCACTTATGTTGCATATGCTAAGAAGCGTTATTGGAGTAAAAATAGGAATACAAATTAGGTTATTGCATTTTGGTTTATTGAGTTTATTCGGCCGTACTGCGAAATTATGTGCCAACATTTCATCCAATTTTGAAGGAGGGAGTTTGGCTCTATACTTTGCACATACCGAGTAATTTTTCAGCCAGAGTTTTAAGTCCTGTCTTTGTTAATGCGTCAGCCAATTTTCCAGCTGTGGCTCCTTCCCGGCCTTCTTTATTCATCCATCGCACTAAAAGATCGATGCAGCGTTCCTTGTCCGATGGATTTTCCATTTTTATCGCGTCAATCTCCGTTTGTTGAAAACTCAACCTTCGAGCTACTTCCATCCATAATTTTCCGATTTCCTTGGGAAGCTCACGTTCATTGACATCAGACTGGGTTAACGGATGACGTGGATCCAGCGACGCAAATGATTCTTTTGAAGGGAAAAGAAAAAGCAAGATATCAGGCAACTACTCTTGATTGAAATTAGAATAAACTCAAGCTGCTGCAAATATAAGGCAGAAAGGAGCAAGCCACCACGTGGGATTTAAATATATGGTGAGCTTTACATGAAACACGATTCGAAGAAATATATGTATATGAACTGACGACAAAGAAAGAAGAGGAATCACGTGTGATTTGATCGTATGGATGCACGCTTGGTGCATGAAAAGGGCAGTCAGGAATATCATAGAATGATTGAGTTACACGCTGAAAGAACTGCGTCGTATGGTCGGTGCAATAATTCCTATTCGAGTTAAATCGTAAATGCTTGTAAAAAGCACACGAAAAGCAAAAAATTGCTGTGAGGCGTGATTTGATCATTTCCAAAATAATTTGATGGCTTCGAAAGCTGCCAGACGACAAACACAATGAGCTTCAATTACAAGGTTGATTAACCTCGGTAAAGTGCAAAAGCTGAAGGCATTTACTCGAAGGCATACTCCAAATATTTTTTCATAGTCTTTGGCTAGATTACAAATTCAGACTTTATTCGTAACGATAGTTTTCCTTCCTGCCAGACTTTATTTTACAAGCGTGATGGCTAATTACTTCCGGGTAAGGTAATTAAAGTTGTTTTCTCGTGAGTTTTGGCTTAAATCAATTTAGTAAACCGATTAGCCATTCCATTATTTTTTTCAATGATACGGAAATTCCGATTTGTTCTCTAAAAGCACTCGTGACACGACAAAACACTTCAAACAACCCCTTTGCTTTCGAGGAAGTGTGTATAGAAACACGAGTAATTATCCATGCAAAAAAAAATGAGCCTAGACATGCATTTATTTCAGAGTATTTTGATCAAGCATAATGATTTCCTTGTGATGTTAAGACGTTTAATGCATTAAATGCTTACCGTGATCTAACATTTGAGCCATTCTTCTAGTTTATAATTGAAACAACTTCTTAGAATTTTTGGTGGTCTGTCGGACGGGCAGAAAATTTCGCGGCGGAAGTGATTCGTTCTTTCCTGGTGAGGAACGGTTTAAATGGCTAGTTATGTCAGGTCGAATAGACGAAAAAACTTATTTCAATTTTATGTTCGTAATTACTGTTAAATTAGCGCAGTACAATCCATTGTCAGTGTACCAAACTTGATCCAATAAATACCAGATTTTAAATTATAACCTTCAATTGGAAGATGCAAATGTTCAAGTGTCCTCCTGATGCAGGCAGTGTTTCGATTACCAATGTTGTTTCAACCCCTTTAGACTGAACGAAAGTGATTACCTCTTTCCTTCGATCAAATGCTGCTAAGAAACGGTAGAAAAGCTGTTCTCCAGGCGCGATGAAGAGAATTATATGGAATTTCCGTATCACTCTGATACGGGAAGTTGGTGTTTGTCCCACGACAGGGGAGTATGAAACAGGGAAACGGTGAAGAACCTTTCTTTGAGGTATACTAATAAAAGATATTTTAAGGGTAATTTCCTCTTTCAAAGCCCTGAAGTGGAATTCGGTGTTCCCACGACACAGGCTTGCAATAGTGACTTTCTATCCTAGGCCCTTGTGATTGAATAAAAAACGAAGGCTTGCGACAACAAGCTACTTTCTTATTGGTCCGTGATAACCTATCTATTTTCACATTTAAAGAGAACAACCTTCTTTGAATCAACAATTACATCATGTAAATATTTTGCTATTCTATAACATGCACATGGTCACGTTTTCTGTCGTTACTAGCTTAATTAGCATGTACTTATAAATTCAACTTGTAACGCTTTGTTAATCAACTGAAGATGACAGAGGTTTCTGTCGAAACATGTCTTTTTAACTCAAAAGTTTTGTCGTTTTCTTTAAATTTTTGAAAGTCTTATTGTTTATTTCTTCCGGTAAGGAGAGTTGAAGCTATGATCTTATCTACAGACTTGGCACAGTACTTACGGTTACCTTTTCAATCATACTTACTTATCATAGTTATTTTTATTTTGAACTATTTATCTCTTTGCTTAAATTAATTTACATATTTATACACAGATTGCTGAATTGGAAAATGTGGAGGATGATGGTGGTGATCAGGCCAAAAAGAAAAATGATGATACGGGGCCCTGTATCTCAAGTGAAATTCAAGGAGCAAACAGTGAAAAGGTTAATCTATCTAGGAAACAGTTTTTCAGTCGTAGAAAGAAGACCCTGGCTGCACTATGTCCCATCCTTGATAGTTGTGCCCGAGCAAAGATGAAATTGCCCAGAGACAACAAACCAGTGCTTGATGGTTTGTGGACGACATTAATATGCACTGCATCAAAACCTGAGATGACCAATTACATCAAGAATTCAAATATTTGCATGCAAGAGATAATTCCAAGTATTATCAAGGGAAAAATTAAAGATTATGAACACAGCAAGGAGAATAAAAGTGAGAAGCTTGCATGTGCTTTATGAAGGAGGCCTCATAAGCAAGAAAAAGTACACAAACATTAGGAACAGTTCAGATGTTGTAAGAGAAACTGAAAAGAAAAAGAAAAACATGAAGACAGAATTTATGACAGGATGCGAAGTTCCAAACATTTTGCCCTACAAAACACTGATGAGCTTTGTCAGAAGCATAGAAATTGGTGAAGTGCTATCCTTGGATGATCTGGCTGGTATTTATTCACTGAAATCAACGTCTGGTGTATACAGACCATTGAAGCCTTTTCTTCTGAAGCTTGCAGAACTATACTTGTTTCTGGACAGCAAAACCCCCTACCTACACTGGTTCAATGGAGAGAAAGGAGTTTTGCATGTAGCAACTGGTGCAGATGGTGCTCCCTTTGGGAAGGACGATACAGCAACAGGTAGATTATTATTATCTCCAGACTGAGGATACTAGCCTGATATTGTATCATTAAACAGGGAAAACTCGGGCTAGGGGGCAACGTTTCAGTGAACTCCAGGTTGGGAGCCAAAAATTTAGCATTAGTTATATAGAAAAACTAGAGGACATAATCTAAGACAACAGAAATGAACTAGGTATGAGGAAGACAATGAATGTTTTTAGCGTGTGAAGAGATATAGGAAGTGTTATGCATGTGACATGGGAATAAACACGACTGAAAACGTCAAACAAGGTTAACAAGGAAACATTGCCACACAATAGATTACCCACCAAGAGAAACTAAGGCTAGAAATGCACTGATTCGAGGAAATTTTTACCAATCATAGTGTGGCAATGTGTGATTTAGTCACTTGATTTCCGCCCTTCCGACAGCAAAATTTGTATAGGATTAGTTTGTACGCACACCTCCCCCCTCCTATGACTCTTCACATCCCTACCCTACACACCTCACCATGCCATTGGCCCATGCGGAATCACGTTTAAAAAACATTTAATATTGCAATAATGCTTTCTAGATTTTGAGAAATCCTTCCAGTTCATAACAAGTGCTAAGGAACTAACCGCGGATAATCTAAGGTCTGTCTTCACTTAGGCAGAAAACGCACAATGGAGTAGGCCCTACGTTCACCCTTTCTCTCCTAAAGAGTTCTAATTCCCAATCAGATCAGATGAAAACGAAGGCATCATCGAGTTTCGATTTTTAAGCGCTTAACTGTTGTTAAGTTAGCGATGTACAGTCGTTTATATAACAACTTTGACCCGGTAAATGCTCAATACTCACCTGATTACCCGCAATTAGACGTCGCGGAACTGAATAAGTGTTCAGTTAGCGGCGTCGTTCGATTCCAGAATCCTTTTAGATTAATTATTTATCACCTTTTTCGCAGCTTCTGTAACGTGTCAGGAGTACGAAATTGGCGAGTGTTGAGAAGCAAGGAAGAATTAGTTCATTCTGGAGCGGTGAACGGATTGAAAGTGCAATGTCATTATTTCTTAAAGTCGGTGTTTTTCCCCAGGTTCACACGGGCTCCTAAAGGTCACTCTATTCTAAGCCCTGAGAGAAAGGAAGTGGTGACTAAACTTAAAACACTCATTCTTGCGATGCATTCAATGATCACCGATGACCTCTCCATTCAGTTAGGATAACAAAAAGGATATTTATTTATTATCCAGGACGGTAATAAATCAGTAAATTCCAAGCCGGGATTGAAAAACATAGCTTTAGATTTGAGAGATACAAGCGGAAACATAATGTGGGAAAAAACAAGCAAGGCAAACTCTTGGAGAACTTTGGCAGAGAACATTTCTTTCATTTGTAGATAGTTTGTTACGCATCGATGGAATCATTATTTCTTCTAACCATGTATGAATGCCATGGTATTCTGCCAAGTATACGTATGTCAAATCTATTTCACCTCCTTCCAGAGTACATTGTGCTTAGTCACCCCCGATCGAGGGGTGTTACTTTTGAATCGCTGATTCGTCACATTGCTTTCACTTTCTTCATTGGAAAGCCTGCTTCACTTGCATCTAACAGCAGTTGTTGAATTATCACTATGTTAGTAATCAATAAATCAGTAGGAAGATGTAACCTGGCACATGTCGAACTAGAAAGACCGTTGTATGGTTTCCTCAATTCTCATTGTGTCCTTCTCGATCTTTTCGCGGCTCAATGGACAGCTGGTTACAGCGGGAAAATCAAACAAAGCTGAGCAGAAGTCTGAATGCACTTTCAATGCGGATTTAGCGAAGTAATTTCCGTTTAAAGCGATCGCTAGGGTAATCATGAATTTGAGTGTCTTTCCTTGAACGTAAATGATTTAAAGATTCAGTTCAAAACTTTAAACTAAAATGCCGTTACACAACTGCGAATACGATGTTCGGCTTGTTTCCAAACGGAAACACAACCAACCATGCGTTAAATGAGCAACCTTTCTTCTACCAGTTTTTACTCTTACCTCATACTCTTCTGTGCAATAACTAAGTGGTGTCAATCTATGTCTGAGGTTTTCTGGGTTGTTTGTTTGTTGGCTTGTTTTCAAAGAAGTCACAAACACTGGTATAGTAAAAACGTGATCACGACTGGACTCAACCCAGTCCTAAGAATATTCCGAAGGGATTCTCTTTTCACACGAAGGCTACCCGCAAGGAAAGCATAGGGAGCGCGAGGCATACCAAAGGAGCCTGTGTAAAATTTAAAACTGGGGGAAGAACTAGGTACCAGACTTTCAACAGTGAACACCCCACACAAAACACTACGCGTTCCCAATGCTTCCTGCACAATTTCCCTTTCAACTGAAGTTGCATTGCCGCTCGTAAGGAGAGCATAAAGAGCGTGAGACATACCTAATTAAGGAGTGTGGTTAAGTTTTGATACTGAGGAAAGAACCATGTACCAGGCTCCCAACAGGGCATACTGCCTGACACCACGCACACAAATTCTTTACTCAACCAATGCTCAATACCTTTCGCAAAATATTAAGTAACTTCCCTCTAAAAAAAACACTCATTTCTCAATTGTTTTATTAACAAAAATGATCAAAATAGAAATAATAGTGATAATAATAACTATTGTGCTTCCGAGGACCAGCCTCTATCTAGAAATACGAATTCCTTGTCTAAATCAAAGTAAGTAAGGAACTAGGAGTGATAACTAAACCCTGTTCTGAATTTTCATATGGAATTTTCTATTATAACAGCTAAATCTGTATAAATTCGTTTGCAAGAGGGAAAAAACAGCAAAGAAATAAAACTGGACGAGAAAGGTAAAGGGTGACACAAAATGCAGGTGACCAACAAAGATAATATCGGCTCATCAGTTTCTTAACTTTTTTAGGATAATTAAAAAAATTTTTCTGAACAACTCGTACTGCTAGATCACATTGACTTGTCCGCGAGCAGGATCGCTGCGTTCAAGTTCTTTGTAAAGCAATTCCTCAGTAGACTGCAAGTATATAATGTTTACCACAATGTTCATCTTTTGACTAAGTTTAATGACTAAAGGATGAACATTGCTAGAAACGAGGATTTCGCCGGGATGAAAAAATATTACTTGATGCTTCTGATCAAACAATAAAATTTTGACTGCAAAAGCCGAACCAAGAAATTTAGTGTAGGACTGGAAAAGGTCAGTTTACAAACTAAGCACGTCCGACACGAACATAAAAATTTAGAAAAATATCTTACGAAGTAAATACTTCACAAAAGAACTTTGGGAAAATACCTTGTATTAGTAAAATACCTTTTAAAAGATGGAAAATTTAAGGTTTTACCTGACCCTGACTACTCTATTACACAAGATAGTCTTTTTGGCTTTTGAATCTAAACCATCCAGATCTCGGTCATGCATACCACTTATTGAACACAAAGTCGACCAGCCAACAAGTGAAGTAGACCTAACCACAAGAGAATATGTCTATCAAGTGAAAACCTATCTCCAGATCGTAAGAAAATGAACGTATCTCAGATCAACGACGACAGCCGAGTCATTTTTTCTCGTCCTCATATTCTTTATCTTGATTTCTGTCATTATCTGTTTTGTAAGACGTAAGGACACACGATTCTTTGTCTTGTCTTTTCTTCTTTATCCTGGGGATCCTTGACTGCAATGAGAAAAGCATCGTTAATGCCTTTTAACCCTTCGACCATCTAAGAGTGACCAGCGTCTAATTTCTTCTTATATTATAACTGCTGTCTTCAACATTAAGGTCAGGAGAATAAAGGAACTGATCACCAGCTGCACTTCTTCAACAAGAAGACAGTTGCACTTGTATTTTCCTTCGACGCGACCCGAAAGCCTAGTAATCATAGTGTGAGAGGATTTTGACGAGAGCGTATTTTTAGATCCTCGAAAAAAAAAAATTTTTTTGTAGGCTCAAAGAAATATTCTTCTGTTGATACAGATATGCATCTCAAGTTTGACACAGGAAAAAAATTTGGTTTTCAAATTATTCCTTATTATCATTATTTTTATTATTCGGAACCTTAATGAAACAGATTCGTCTTTGAGCTGGGAATGAAAGTGAAGTGAACACTAAATGATCCTCGTAGAAAAGAGTTTAAGATTCATGTTTAATTCATTTCATGTAAATCGTAGCAAGATTCCTCTGCAGGAGGGAAGAACGCACCAAAATGTTCGTCGCTTCAAACATATAACTTCGTAACTCGATTCACATCGAAGTTTTGAATACTTTTGCAAGCTTCTTTTTTGCAATTCTTTCAATTGCAGCTCACCTGTAAGGATCATTTCCTTAAATAAATTGTTGATATTAATTTATTTCACGCTCTGGTTGGTAAATGTTGCGTCGACCTCTCACGATATATAAACTCAGCTTATTCTAGTTTCTTTCACTTTTGAATTAAGGTCAGGGAAAGTTATATGTTTGTTAGATAAGATGATTAATCACAAGATTTGTTGCACAATTAACTCAAATAGTTTCNTTACAGAGTCGGATAACTTGGATGCTAAAATTTTCACCCTAACATACCGGGGAGAAAAGTCGTTTCCACAGTTTCTCCAGTTGCACGATTTCTCTTTCTCTGCCGTTTCGGTACGACACCAGACATTTCAGTTTTATTTTTTCCGTCTCTGTCATTTTCTTTTCTTCTGATTGTAGTTCCGCAACACGTGCAATCAAATCATTATGAACAGCCCTTAAGCTGTGATATGTGAAGTCATAAAACTTCACCCTAACCAACTCGTCGCATTTACAAGCTTCTCTCGTGATTCCGTTTACTCCGGTGTACAGCTCTTGGAGAGTTCTGCTATGATTGCAAATGAGGTCGAACGTTATGTTCAAGGCAAAAGTATCTTCCCTCAAATCCGGTATCTCTAGGGAACGTCCAATTTCTGTGAGCTTGCCCTGCATCTCCTCCAACTGCTTTAAAATTTACGGCTCTTTGTCCGAAAAATCATAGATTTTTTCTTTTGCTGATGTTCCCATTTCTGCTACAATCTGGCTGCTAGCATCAACACATTTCTTCAGCTCCTGCAAAGCAGGACAAACAAACCAACAAGCAATAGATAATCAATGGCGTACTTAACCATGTCAAAGATGATTTTTGCGTTAAGACTTTAATTCATCTTAATGTTTTGCTGACATGATGAAATCGATACACGTCGTATTTTCATGGTTTAACGCTAAAGGCTTCAACTCATTTGATATAGCTTCATAAAGCCTGCGTTTGTACGATGTGAGATATTTTCTCATTGTTCGTATAGCTTTGTTCTTTTAATTATTTTTTAATCATGTGGAAATGCCGCCGAACAAAATGCACTAGAGCTCATTTTCAAACAACGCTGTAAAGACCTCAGTGAATCGTTTCGCCGATTACATCTTTGACACTATAAAAGAGCTCAATGAATTTTTCCGGGGACTTCATCTTTCGATCAAACCTTGTAGAGTATAATTGTTTTACAGAGATCATAGACTTATATAATTGACGCTTACCTCTGGCGATGTCTTAAATTCCCTTTCCTCACTCTCCGGCCACATGAAATAGATAGTTTTTCCACAGCAGTCAATGCCCAACATAACCTAAGAAAATCACAATAATAAATGTTCAGTGATTAGATAAGACTCAGGGAGAAAAGGAAGTAAATTCACATCACCACCATAGAACAAACCTCGTTCCCATCACCAAGTTTTAAAGTCCCAGTAATTTCAATCAATATCGTTCTTCTGCCATTTGATGGACCTGTAACAAATAAATGACTAACATGTAACTTCTCTCAACCTTCGAGAAGACCCTTATCATTATTGCCCATGTGTAGGCGCGGCGTACCATTCCCTAGTGGAGAAACGGAAGGAAGGGCTGAGAGAACGTACACGAAAACCTGATACAAATCGTGTACGCTTACGTGAAGGCTATCATCATTAGCGCCGCAGGACGGGTGTTTCTCCCCCTGCGGCGCGCGGGAAGATCTGAGACGAGTCGGAGAGAGGTCTGCCGGGGGCTCTGGCACTGATAATAATGTAGTTGATTCCAAGCCCCTCGCAAACGTGTCACAGGCTTGCTTTACTCAAGGAACCAAGCTTTTCCGCGGCCGCTGGCTAAGAAATGTTCGTGTCGCAGAGGTAATAAGGAGAGCCTCCTCAGGCCAAACCTCTCCTTGCAAAGGCAATTCTTTGTCAAGCAGACAGGGGAAGATAATTTCTGATTTGTACACTAACTCAACAACTGACAATAATACGTCAGCAAAGAAAGGGCCAAGCGTTGGATGGTTTGTCGAAAGAGGACTCTATAGATTTAAGCTTACTTAATTTTAAAGGGGCTTGATGAAGAGAGGAGCCTTAGCGGAGGGGCTTGGCTTTCTTTATCGCACATACCAATCAATCTTTCAGCCAGATTTGTCAGTCTCGTTTTTGTCAGTGCTTCAGCTAATTTTCCGACAGTGGCACCTTTTTGGCCCTCTCTCTCCATCCATCGCACCAAAAGATGGATGCAACGTTCACTTTCAGTGCTATTTTCACTCTGAATTGCGTCCACTTCCACCCTTTTAAAACCCAAATTTCGGGCCAGTTCTTTCCATCTGCCTCCAATATCCTCGTGAAGGCAGCATTTGTAAACGTGAG